CTTATTATGAACACACTTAAATATAGTATTTTTCTGCAAATCTTCGTGCGAAATTTCTATTTATTTGCATATGAGAAAAAATATATAATGTAATTTGGCTGGGTGGCAACCATACTTTTGCATATGAGTGTAGCATATGTTATGGTTATATAAAACAATAACCCCATTCATAAACAGTGACAGAGTTTAAGGCCCTTTCACATATTCAGTTCCCAGTTGGTCCAGAATGACTTTGATTAATCGATTAGTTTGGAAACAAAAACTCGCAGGTAATTATAATGTTGCCCATAACATTTATTTAACACACTGAAAATACAAGAATTGTCCTCGTTTTATCCAAAAAACATGAAAACATCTACCCTATCTTCTTATTCATAGTCTCTGAAAAGGACTTTTCATCTGCACTGCTCTCTAAAGGTGCAGGAACAGTGAAGGAACAACACAAACAAATCTCACATGGCAGTCCAAGATTGCTGCTTTTCTGTATTTCTCCTCTAATGATAAAGCAAAAATAAATTAAACAGCTCAATTACATCAATGAAATTTGACATTACTGATCACAACAGTCTAGTAATCAGCCACATCAGATACGGAGACCTAAAACAGCTCATCACATGTTAAACGACAAAAAACCATGCATGGCTTGTCAGCATATTCAAATATACTGAACACATTCAAATACTGAATATAGAGTTTTATAAAGTTACCTAGGGCTCTGTGTTCGTATGGACAGGAGGCTAAAACCTGGAGAAAAAAAGAATAAACACCCAAGCTAGTCTGAGTGCACTAGCGCACAAGTAGCCCCTATTACCACAGAGTTTACTCGAGCAGTTTAGACCGACACTTTCAAAATGCAGCTCATCCCTTCAGCCAGTGCTGCTAAATCTACCTGCTAAACTAAAACAGAATCAGCTGAAAAGCAGACAGTGATTTTTACTTCTGAATACAGTTTTAATAAGACATTATAGTATGGTATAATAACACTTTACTGTAGGGTACTGTTCATAAGGCTACATGACAATACATAAGCTTAACCCTAAAGCATAAACGTTTATGAATGCTTATTCCAATTTATCTGTCATAATGGCAAATGTAACCTTTATAGCAAATGACACCTACTAGAATAAGCATTTATAACATTTATGAAAGGTTATGTCAGTTGTCATGACAAGCTAATGTAGGTGTCATGTAGCCTTATGAACAGTACCCTACAGTAAAGTGTTATGGATATTAGTATCCCACTATGTCAAGTTTCTGCTGTGAATGCAATGTATATTCTCTCTCAGACTCACACCTGATTGTCGTGCTGCAAGTCGTACTCTTTTTCTATGAGATTAAAGTGAAGAGGTTTCATAGGTTTTGATTCTTGGGTCGGGCGCAACCCTGTACTGCAGTTCACGCTATCTGTATTTCACTCTTTCAATCGCGTGATATAAACGGGATGCGCAAATGTCATCAATCCAACTAATCTATTACATCAAGAATATTTTTTATTATCAACATTATCAATATTTTGATTAGTTGTTCCAGACCTAGTTAACACTGCAATTTACCTGCAAGAGACCCAGTACAATATCCAGAAAGTTAAAAGGAGGAGTCATGTGAACAGAACAAAGGCGATCCAGCATACCTAGCAAAGCAGAAAGTTTGTATTTTACGGTCACAATTTCGGTTTCTGCAAGAGAAAAAAGTCATGAGAGTGTATTTTGTATGCAATTCAGAAATTAAGGAGCTTCATGTATGAATGTGGGTGTCCCAATAAAATACCATATGAGGGCTACATGTGTGAGTAATGTGAAACCTGAACATTACCGGTAAAAGTAGCTCAGATAACAAACATCATGTCTTAGTTTAGCAGAATCAGTACAAAACACTGAAACTGACATTCTGTGAATTTTACATGGTGTAGTAAAAAACTTCATCACAGTATCACAGTAACAACAATATTTTTGACAGCTAGTGGGCTGTAGCAGTTCTGTGTGAACTCACAAAGATTTCAATGTTTGGAGATTTGGTTCTGTCTCTGAGTTTGACTGTTTATGCCAATAGGTCAGCACTTTGTGCAGCTTACGGAGAGTGTTTTTTTGTTTTCTATGCAAGCAATCTCAAATCATTCAAAAACTGGTAGGGCATCGCTTCAGTAAAAGTGAAAAGTGGTGGATCAAATGAGAGCTCGCCCCCTGTGATTCCGGAAGCGATGCTCCACTTGTCTTTTTTGGTGGATCACTAACATTAAAGTGTATGGTTGTGAGGGAAGTAAACAGCTGTTGAGTTTAATTGAAATTCAATAGCATCACCACTGGGTCGTAAACGTTTTGGTCAGTGTATTGATTGGATTTTTAGGAATCTATACCCACTGGCAACTTTATCAGAAACCCCTCTCTTGTAGCTCCAACTTGCTGGCCAGTGAGTGGAAGTACAAAGTAGAGGTCTATAATAAAGTAGACTGCGAGTAATAAGAATACATGACTTGTCATTTAGAGTGGTTTGACATGAAATGGTTCACTGTAGAGACTCAGATTTCTTTACAGTGGTGGTGATAGGAACCGGGGATTGTGATGTCTACAACACAAATATAGCCATTTTTTTCATTATCCAAAACCACCAGTGAACCTACATGTGTCTTTTATATACATAGCACACATCTCAACTATTGAATTATGCAAAAATTTGAAAAATATGTGGAATTTCCTTTTATTTTCAGCATTGATAAAGCTGTCCATTTTCACACAACGTTTGCTCCTTTAAAATTTACAGCAAGTCATTTTGAGAAAGTCATGCTGCTGGACTAAACGGAGCAAAGGGTGAAAACACCTTTTGGTAATAAGGCTTGGATAGAACTCCATTCTTTAAAGTGTAGCTTTAAACTAAGTGAAGCTTGTGTGCATGTTAAATGAGCTTTTGCTAAGCAGTAACTAAACATGTTTAAGACAATTTTACAGCCCAAATAATGACCGTTACCAATACTAATGACCAGTGCTCTGTAATTCTGCCCACTGCTCGCTGTAGGTGCAACCACAGACAAGGAGCCACAGACACGGAGCCCCTCCCCCAAACAGGGACAAATGCCAAGCTGTGTGTGTATGTGGTTATCTCAGGTCGCGGCCCCGACACACACACACACACGCACACAGTGTGTTGGAACACCCTGTGCTACAGCTCTGTTTTATTTCTTTTACGCAGAACTGAATAAGGTATAAAGTATTGTAAGTAAGATATAAACATATAAATGGTACTCTAAATTACAGCTGTATGCAAAGTATGCACAATTAATGTTTATTTGCTGAATTTAACATTTTGAAAAACAGCACATTTTACATTTTGTTTTATTTTTTCCAAAGTTAAACTAAATAGAAATTGTGCACTATAATTTGTAGAAAATATCATATTTCAGCATATTCTCTGCAGAGGTGAGTTTCATTTTCATTTAGAAAATCAACAAAACATTATTTCGCCAGGGGTGTTCAAACTTTTACATACGACTGTATATGCAGGGCGTGTGCTGTATAAACACACTAACCCGGCTAACTGCTATCAGTCAGCTCTTAGGCGCTGACATACACACGCCTCGTTGAATGAAAGCTCAATCAATCTGAACTGAAAAGAACACTTCAGCAAATTTCACCTTCCTGTAATCAATACTCATCAACCTCCTTATAGACTGATCATCAGCAGATGGTGGAAAGCTGCTATTTAAATTAACAGTCCATCCTGGGCTATTATAAGTTAAAGAAAAGATGCAAAAACAGCTCTTTTTGAATTCATTAGTTTTGTGATGTGATTAAAAACCAAGATATACATATTCACCTATTCAGCCTACAGCAGTTTATCTCCATCTGTTCATGTCATGTCAGTCATGGTATATGTTATATACTATGTCATGTTATACCAGTCTTAACGGCGCAGTAACAAAACAGCCTGTTTAAGTCTTAATGATAAAGAGAAGCTGGAAAATGGTTATGTAGCTTACTTGTTCTTGTGTTATTTGTGTTGAGATGTTTTATTTAGCTAAAACAAATAAATTATGTTGGCATTTAAAATTACAACTATGTCAATTGTATATGCCACTTATAAACCATATTCCATATTTACATTCCTAACAAACTGCCAAATATGATGTAGAGCTGTTCTAGTAGCAAGTAGCCTTCTACTGCAGTAGCTTAGCATGCAGTTTCATTCCACAGCACAGGTTCATTCCAGCTTACTTAAGCTTACATTCGAATATGTGCAGGTAATCATGTGTTGTTGCATGTGGAGCTGATGCATTATTCTTCAGTATCCTCATTAGAAGCTAGTGCTAGCTTACAGCTTTACGCACAACCACACAGGTTCATTCCGGTTTATTGAAGCCTCAGTGATGCAAGTTTAAAGAACAGCGGGTAAAACAGTGTTTTTGTGAGTGGAGCTGTTAGCTTAAGCTACTTTTGATTCACAATCCTTAGCAGTGGAGGCTAGAAAGAAGGCTAAATCATCTTTCTGTACAACCACACAGGTTCATTCCAGCTCACTGAAGCCTCAGTTATATAAGTTTAGAGAATAAAGACTCAAAGCTGAGCAGGTAAATCTGTTTTTTTGTGTGTGTGGATCTGTTACCTTTTACTACGTTTGCTTCAATATAATTAATTATTATTAACACAAGATGCTGGTGTTAACTTAGCGATAAGTTTAAAAGATAAAGACTCAAATCTGAGTGAAATTCATTGACTAGTGCCGGAGTGATAGACTTTTTCTGATTATTAAAGTTACAGTGGGAGCTTCTCTCTCACAAAACATAGATACAGTGTGCAGAGTAGAAGGGGGGAGACAAGGTTCACTTTCTTAATAAGTGTTGAGGATTAGTGACGCTCTTGTTCCATTCCAGTAGTTTCTTGGATATGCAAAAATATTGAACAATTTTTTATTCAACACAGATGATACTGTTGTGTTTTAATGTATGACTTCAGGTTTAAGAGTGTACCTCATATCATCACAAAGCTGACTTGCACCAAAAGGTCACCAACCTTGAAGCTGCTATTTCCACTTTTGTCCTGGCGATGGCGGCGGCCCTCCTGGCTCCCTCCACGGCCCGCTCCACTTTCTCTTTGGTCTTGGGATTTTTGAGTGGAATTATCTGCTTCCGTATCCCGCGCACCAGAACGTTGTTTTTGTACTTTCCTTCTTCCCTGGTTCCATCCGGAAAAACGGTGCATCCGTATCCATGCCGCTTGTTGTTCAGCCACTCCCCTTCATACTTCATGCCGTTGGATCGCTCGCTGATGCCAAATCCGTTGCGCTTGTCGTTCTTCCACTCGCCCATGTACGACTCGGTGGTAGTGGCGTCCACATTGTCCTCCATCGGTGGGAATTCGTCAGTTGCCTCTCCATCACCGTAGCTGATGGTGGAGTTGCCATCGCTGGAGCTGATGCGGCTCATGGCTGAGCTCCTCTTGCTGGAGATGGAGCTTTTGGACTCAGACTTGCGGAGCTGCCGCAGACTTCCAAACAGCGAGCCCCGCCGGAAAAGGCCTGGCTTCTTTTTCCTGCCTGCCAGCACCTCGCTGTCACTGTGGAAGTTGAGCACAAAGCCACCACGGGTGCTGACTGGCTGCTCAGCTGCTGTGTCCGGCACCACTGCGCCATTACTCTGGACACTCCGCAGGGACGCCAGTGAGGTCCGGAGAGGAGAGCGGATCACTGTAGCCATTCCGTATGGAACGCTCTGCCTGACTCCATAACCGTGCCGCATCCCACCCATCCACTGTCCCTGGTACGTGCCTGAGGAGCAGCAAAACAACAGAGTTAGTCAATGTACGACTATAAAAAGTAGAAAATGTGGAGCGGTTTATTTATTTTCATGTTTCATGGAATTAATCCGAATTATAGTCTTGTCATGTTGGAAAATGATTTAGTGGTAATAATGTATTTTATTACATATTATTGCTAGTCACCAGCCTGTCACGACCAATAGAAATAATCCAAAATAACTTCTTCATCTTGTTCCGTTAACTCCCATTCAAAGTTGAGGTTTTTTTTTCTCCTCCTGTAAAGTTCTCTCTCTCTCTCTCTCTCTCATATATATATGTATAGATGTATATATATATATATATATATATATACACACACACATATATATATATCATATAGCATTTACTTGTTAAAAAGTGCCAACTTTCGAATGAATACAAATAAAAATCTAATAATTAATTTTACCTATTGATGTTTATTTGTATTTATTACAATGTTATTAATGTTATATATCGCTGCTGTCCGAAAAAATCTTGTATCTCCATTTTTGTCGTTTTTGACATAATTTGAAAATGTCTGTTGCCCTTTACATTGTGTGTAAATTTCGTGATGAATGGACCAAAAGAAATGACCCAAAATGACTTGGAAAGAAGTCTGATTCCATTGACTTACATTAAAAGTAAAGTAGGTTTTTTCCTTTTCTGTAAAGTTATCATTTTGGAGATACAAGGTTTTCTTCCAACAACAGCAATATTGTTCTTACTGCCATAGTAAATTGTTTTAAACAGTTTTCAAGACTTTCACCCAGCACTGTGCATTATATGTACCATGCATGCTCAATATATGTAAACAAGTATGTATGGTACTGACGTATGGGATTTACAAGGTCCCTTCCTCACTACCATAATTACAAAACCTAAATCTAACAGTAACTAAATAATTAATAACCAAATTAATTATAGTTATTACAGGGTAATAAAGTCTAGACTAAGAGGAGTAATTGAATAACAAGCCTATAGCTTAATATATTTATTTGACATCAAACCATCACATTAAACAGACAGTGAAAACAAACTGCTTTCTGTCATTTCTAAATTGTCTTAAAGTGCCCATATCAGGAAAAAACAAATTTTCTTATCTTTCGTTTTTGATATAAAAAGTAGATATTGTTAAACGTCTAAATGTTTTGGTCACTCCCCAGTCCATATTTGGAAACAGAGGTTGCAAAAACTACTTTTGTGATGTCACCAAAAACAATGCACCCACATATAAACCCACACTAATGTCATCAAATGTCTACAGAATCAACTACAATAATTAAACTGCAATGTATTACAAATCAAATACCAAGTAAATCACTTTAGCAGTTCTACTTTATTTGCTTTGCTCAGCAAAGTGATCAACTACAATCTATACATGTAAATAAAAGTACAATGAGAAATAAGTGGGTCAGAATACCACAGATACATACAACACAGCAACTGAAGTTTCTGATGGTCTTTGGAACAGTTACACAGATCACTTGATGAGTGACGCATGATAGGAGCGCCCAAGGATTATGGTGCTCAGAGATCAGCATCAACCTACTTTAATCTACGCTTCCTCTCAGACCGGATTCACAGGGCTTGTTGACAGAAACCTCCAAAAATTGTTTAAAGCAAAAACAAATTTAAAATTAATTTAATGGCAGGTGGAATTTGAAGTGACAGTAAAATGACCTTCTGCTTTGGCCTTTTTACCCTTTTAGAGGCACCACAAATCACAGATGTTTTAGGCTACACAACATGAACAACATAACTGCAACTGTTCTTTTCTTTGCAATATACTATAACACATTGGTAATTCCTTGAATCAGTCGTGTAGACTACAGTACTGTATACAAATCTATAGACTACAGTACTATAGATCTATAGTACTGGTACTGTATACTAATCTATAGACTACAGTAAAAATCTATAGACTGCAGTACTATAATCAGCTCTAAAGATTCCAGTCCTACAGACATCTTTATGAACTACAGTACTATAGTCAGCTCTATAGACTGCAGCATTATAGTCAGCCCTATAGACTGCTGTACTAAAATTGGCTCTTTAGATGCCAGTACTATATATGGCACAACAGACTACAGCACTATAGACAACTCTACAGACTACAGTACTAAAGCCAGCTCTATAGACAACAGTACCAAAGATGGATCAATAGACTACAGTACTATAGATGGCTCTAAAGCCTACAGTGCTACAGACAGTTCTCTAGACTATAGTACTACAGACTGCTCTCTAAACTACAGTACTACAGCCATCTCAATAGACTACAGTACTGAAGATGGCTCTATGAACTACAGTACTATAAACAGCTCTATAAACTTTAGACTACAGTACTATAAATGGCTCTATAGACTATAGTACTATAGATAACCATATATATACTACATATATAAAGATAACTATATATATACTATATATACTACAGTACTGTAAGCAGATCTATAGACTACAGTTTTATAGAAATGAGTATTATTAGCTATATAAACTATATATCCTTTGTGAATTAAAAAGCATGTTACAAATAAAAGTATTATTATTATTATTATTGTTGTTGTTGTTGTTGTTATTAGACTACTGGGATAGCCTCCAGCACTCCCCCGAGACCTAGGAGGATAAGCGGTTTAGAAAATGTATGTGTGTGTGTGTGTGTGTGTGTATTATTGTTATTATTACACATGGTTTACAGTACTATAGATGTAGTTATAGGCTACAGTTAACATCATTTAATCTACCACCTGCCCAAATATCCTTTTAGGAGGGACACTGTCTCTTGGTCCCTGTGCCTACCTCAGTCTATAACAAGCAATGGTTCCGTGACTCCACTGATCTTTCAAAATGTCTGCATAATTAAACGGTTAAGATGTAAACACAGTCATTCAGAGAGGTTTGGTGTGAAATGCTTCCATTCTAGAGAAACTTACAGAGTCAGAAATGTTCACAGCGGAGGTGAAGGGAACCAGGCGCCCACCTCTAAAAGTTCCCTCACAGAAAGTTACTACATGAAAAGGTTATGAATACACTGCCGGATGCCTGAGACATTGTTTTACCATAGTTTTGAGAAGGTTTTTTGTGTAAAACGTATTCTATTCCTGGTAGAAAGTGAAGTACAAAAGGAAATAAAATGCCTATATATGTATTATGGACATCGTGACCCCTGGTTCCTATCACCACCACTGTAAAAATCTGAGTCTCTACAATGAACCATTTCACCTCACTCTGGACTCTTTTACACCTGAACCGCTTAACCATTTAGAATTGAAGACACACATAGGTAGGTGTACAGGTGTACAGATATACAGGTGTACTCACCCCCATCTGCGTAAGTCTCCACTCCGTACCCATCCTGAAGTCCATTGCTCCACGTGCCGTCGTACCTGGCCGGTGTGTTGTTGCCCTGCCGGACTCCATACCTGCCCTTAAAGCCGTGGCTCCACTCGCCCCGATAAATCCACTTGCCTTTGGTCTCCACTCCGAGCCCATGGCGTTTTCCCTGTGACCAGTAGCCCTGGTAGGTGTTCCCGCTGGGCCAGGTGTAAACCCCCACTATCTCGAAGCCGTGGCTCCAGGCTCCGGAGTACTCGCCCTGACCCTGCGGCCCGGTGCAGATGCCGTGACCGTGGGCTTTGCCGTCCTCCCAGCCTCCACAGTACGTGCCTCCATCGTCAAAATCAAACCGTCCGCCCGTCATTCAGAGACGCATACGCACGCGCAGCACGCACGCGGAGTCCTTTCTTTCTGGCGAAGACACACACAGCCTGGAAGCGCGCGGACACGGTGCTGCAGGTGGTCAGCCCGAGCATGAATGGGCAGCAGGCAGGAGAGGGCAGTTATCACCCACAGGAGCCACGAGCAGCTGCCCCCGACACGCACTCCTCCTCGCGCACCGCACACGAGCGCGGAGACCGCGCACCACAGCACCAAGGGGGGAGGCCACGCCCTCTGTTGCGGCGTCAGTGCTGTAGCTCCGCCCTCAGCAAGCCTCCACCAATAAGCTGAGAGAGTCTAAACCAAAACGCTTTATTTATTTATTTACTTTATTTTTTGTTGTTTCACTTGAGATTTCTCAGTTTTTCGCCTTATTTTTATAAGTCTCAAAAGGCTCCCTATGTAGAGCAGTCATATGCTAAGGTTTGAACACACCTGGTCAAATTGCATGTTTTGTTGATTTTCTAAGTGAAAAAAGTTAACACATCTACAGAGAACACACTTCTGCACATCCTAAAATTATGGCTTCTGCACCCAAACAATGAATAATATGTCTAACAAAGAGCTGTTAAGGATTCAGTCACGTGTGCACAATTTTATACTGGACGTATAGCACACTATTTGGGCATGAAAGCCAAACTTTCAAAACCTACTAAGAGTGAACTATAAAGGGAGTAGGAAGCCATTAGCAATCATTGATGTTCATCTTAAATCTTTCTCTTTGCCGTTTTGTTAGCTACTAGCTAGGCCAGACTGTTGTTTGTGTTGCTATGTGACCAGCAGTCTGCGCGCCGATCTTCAGGGTTAAAGGGTGAATAAGCAGTTACATACATTAACTCCAGTATTTAAGACCATTTATTGTTAAAACTGTGTTAGAACGATCAGCAGAGCTTTATTTTACTGCAAAGGAGGAAAATTTTATTTTTACCTGAAAATGTAATTCTGCTGTGGAGCCACAACAGGGCAGAAAAAGAGTTGCATGTTGCCAACCCATGATTCACGTGAATATGTTGATTTTTATGACATCTCAAATGTGGTAAATTCAAAGCAGGCTGTTTTTGCAGCTTAGTTTTCATATATGAACTAAGGAGTGAATAAACTTTAACAGTGTTTACATACTACATAGTTTTTTGTTTACTAAATGAAGTAAGGACAATACACTTTGTTCTTTAATTAGCCTGTGTTAGTATGTACAATACAATTCAGACATGAAAAAATGGCCATTTTCCATAAAATGTTTAACCTGAACCACTGTTGCAATGTACAGATATGTGATGTATTATGCTTTTGTAAAATCAATTATGCAATATAATAATATTACGTTTATTACAAAAACCTTGTTTTTAAAAAGAAACTGATGTTTAAATTCATTACTCATTAAAAGCAACATATATGTGTAATAAACCACAACAGAAATGTTTGTGTCAAATCATTTTCAGTATTGCACAAGGAAAAGCATGTTATATATCAAAGACTTATATCATGTGATGATCTAATTGGAAATACAATATGTAAACATCATGGCGTAAAGTCGTGATGTGCTTCTCTTTTAAAGGGTAGTTCCACCAAAATTTCAAAATTTCTGCATATTTAGTTTGTTTATATGTAAGCAAATTAATTCAGGATGGTTTGATGTGAAATGGTTAACTGTAGAGAATCTTTTAGATGAGAGTTTTTATATGTAATGCTAATGACAGTAAAATAGTGATAAAGACTCTCTGCCATGAATGAGCTAATATATATATATATATATTATATATATATATATATATATATATATATATATATATATAAAGGCCAAGATCTTTTCGAAAAACTATTATATAGACAATGTCTCACGCATCATGTGGTGCAGTCATTACCATTCTATGAAATACCTTTCTTTGAAGGAGTTTTGAGAGGTATTAAACGCTGCAGACGTTTGGCTCCTATGTGAGCAGTTTGTTCACTGTGAACAGTTTCTATACAACGAAGCATTTCACACCAAACTACTCTGAATTACTTTGTAATGACTGAACCACGCAGAAATTTGAAAAAGTCGGTGGCATTGCCCTTCCCTGAGCAGTACACTTAAAGTTAAGCTCTCCGCTATTTTGAATAAAGGGATACAGTGCCATCTACTGGTGGGTTAAAGTATTGCACCGCATCAACTTCATCCACTTCAAAACGTTACGCATTTCTAAAATATAGATTAAACGACTGTAGATTTTCAAAAAATGGAAACTATTAAGTCTAATACACGGATTAAACGATGAACCAGGTGGTAAAAGGCAACAAAATAGTTGGAAATTGTGATAAATACGTCTCTATGTTGCGGAGTCAGGGTGTCCACTTGGCGGCGCTTTTTACATCACCGACGCTCAAAATGGCGACTGTAAGCAGCAATGAAGCTCAGGACGAGAACGAAATGTTGCTAAAGAAAGAAGAAGGGCAGAAGGAAGAAATAGAGAACACGAAAAAGAAAGAGTGCAAACTGGTTCTGTATCACTGGACTCAGTCTTTCAACTCGCAGAAGGTAAGAGATATAGATATTTACAGTCAGCATCACTGAGGATGCTCTGATGATGCTGCCTGGTGAAGGAAGCACATTCAGAGCAGGATTTATTCGCAATAAAAACTGACCCTAGATCACATTGCATGAGACCTTATTGTTCACTGATCTGATATTATGTGGCCACCGCTGTCATACAGGCGATTGAGGATAAGTTGATGATCCAGGCTTAAAATGTCAGTGTTTTGCTTGATTTAAATGTGTTAAGTTGCATCAGCTCTGCATGCATACAATATATGACATCAGCACAGTTATGTTTTTTTTTTTCAAAGTACTCCCTTTTGGCCATCATTGTGTTGATGTAATATATGTATGTGGACGTGATGCACACATTTGAAGAATGTAAATCTAAAGCACAGAGTCTTTACTGGTTTGGCTCCACACCCTTACATTAAAAGCCTATTAGATGAAGTCTTTAAGCTGGAAATAATAGATGGATATTGGGGCACCTTCATACAGATACCCATCAAAAGTTCCATTTGAAGTCAACCTGAAATCCGACAAAATGTAATGACTTTTGCTCCGGCTCTAAAAGGTCTTCTGATTTTTTGGTGATGTCACTGTCTACCAGTGGGCGGGGGAAAATAATATTAACCAATAATACCATGTTTGACCTCCCCTCCCACCATCCCAACCTATCATGGAGAGAAAACTCTCAGCTAGCTCAGAGACCGTCCCTTATAGGAGTGTCACTCAAAAATACATCCAAAAAATGATTATGTTATGATTTGCCATTCATGCTGACTTTATTTGTGTATACTACACAAGGGCCTACAACTTGGCACATAACAATTTATGGGCAATACATAATTCATAAAACAGTCTCACAGATAATAAAAAATATTAGTAGTTACTGAATAATTCATATTAGATGCTGAATACTTTTAGTAGATACTGAAAAATTTAGTAGTAGTTAATGAATACTTTATAGTAGTTATTGAATAATTCACATTAGTTACTGAATAATTCATAGTAGATATGGGATAATTTATAATAGATACTAAATTATTCATATAAGATACTGAATAATTCATATTATGTACTGAATAATTCATAGTAGATACTTAATAATTCATAGTAGCTACTGAATAATCCATTGAAGATACTGAATAATGTTTAGTAGATACTGAATAATTTGTAGTAGTTACTCAATACTTTATAGTAGATACTGAAACATTCATAGTAGTGGCTGGATAAGTTATAGTAGGTACCAAATAAGTTATAGTAGTTGAATACTTCATAGTTGGCAGATAATTTATAGCAGTTACTAAATAATTAATAGTAGTTACTATATAAATATTAGTTGCTGAATAATTCGCAGTACATATTGGATTATTCTGAATGGATGCTGAATCATTTTTAGTAATTACTGAATAACGTACAGTTGTTACTATATAAACATAACTGTTGAATAAATCATAGTAGATACTGAATAATATGTCTTACAATTAATGACCAAATAATAAACCTTCAGTTGTTAAGGTACCTCATGGACCATAGGCTGAATTCCTCTAAATCACAGGTATATAAACCTTTCCCAGGACAACTACTTTCCTGAATAGTTTCAGCTTTAACACCTCTGATCCAGATAATCACTCTAATAGATTTGGAATGGAATTGATTTTTTGTCTTTTTTTTACATTTGAAAAAAGTTTATCCAAATTGATGCATTTTTACAGCCACCTTACTTTAAATCATTATTCTGATCACTCGAACGGTGTCTGTTGTTTGTGTTTGTTAAAGGTCAGGCTGGCGATTGCTGAGAAAGGTCTGAAATGTGAGGAGTATGACGTGAGTTTGCCGCTGAGTGAACATAACGAGCCCTGGTTCATGCGCCTGAGCCCCACGGGAGAAGTTCCTGTGCTCGTCCACGATGACCAGATCATCTGTGAGCCCACCCAGATACTGGACTACCTGGAGCAGACCTTCCAGGATGGTAAACATGCTACAGTTAAAATATCACATTATGGTGAATAAGATTATAACATAGATTTTCAGTCTGGAAAAGCATGGAGCTCCAGTATGTGAGATCTGCTCTCCAGTAGACAGTAAAATGGACAAGCTTCTTAATGTAATATGTTAACAGTGCGGAATGTAGTACAAACCAAATTCCAAAAAAGTTGACAGTAGGTAAAATGCAAATCAAAGTAGTAGTTTTATAAATCTACCTTGACTTGTATTTGAACAAAAACGGTACAGACAAGATATGCGATATTTTATCCAATCAGCTTAATCATTTTTTGTGAATATATGCTCATTCTGAAATTGATGTCTGCAAAACGTTCCAAAAAGTTGTAACAGAGGCTATTGAAGAGTAGGAACATTGTGAAATGTAAAAAAAAATCTTAAACAGGTGACGCAATTATGCTTGGATATAAAAGGAGCATCCAACACCTGTGAAGGCACCATTAATGCTGAACACATTTTGGTGCAACGTATTTTGCTTTAGATAGGATATCATTTTTTTCAGGATGTCCAAGCTTATTTCAACATGACAACACCAAGAAACATTCTGCACTTGTTACAAAAGCATGGCTGTGTAAACAGAGTACAGGTCAAACAGAATTTACTGATCACTGCTTTTTGTTGTTTTATAGTATTTTACATACTGTCATAACTTTTTTGGAATTGGGTTTATAAATGATTCAGTAATGTTAGAAGCTAACTCACTTTGTTAATCATCATCATCATGTAAACCGCTTATCCTTCTGGGTTGCGGTACTTTGTTAATGATATAGTAATCATATTAAGATCAGGCAGCATGCAGCTATAGGGTAAGACACTGTTAATAACCAAATTAGGATCACAATGATATCGTTTATCACCAAAATTCTGCAGATTATAATCGTTACTTTTAATGATGGCAGTTTCTTCTGCCAAAAAAGTAGTTCCAGCTACTTAGAGTAAAGCAGCAATTGTTGTTGCTTAGCAACCAGTGGAACAATACAAGTATGGTGAAAAAGCGTGCTGTTATGCAGTTGTGTGGAAGGAACTAATTTGTTAATCTAGTACTCTTGACTTTAATCATTAATACAAAGATATTATATCATGGAAAACTTTTAATAGTCATAGAAGAGCCTCATTACAAGTGCATGCCATATTATAAATAATTTTCTAGGGCAAATAATATTTTTTCAAACATCCCCATAATTTATTTTTTCCATGAAACCCACTGTTCTATTATGTTTATGTTGTTTTTTTTTCTTTATGTTCATTACGCCTCGGCCAGAGTGTTTCTTTTAGGTTATTTTCTGTTGATGACGTTTGTGTTGGCTTCCCCATTTTAAGTTCAGCATGTGCAGAAATGTGGATAAGATGACAGAAACAGAATGGTGAGTGTTGATGTTGACTTTATGAAAGTCTCTGGTTAAAATGTTTTTCATTAACATTAGCAGTCATGTTCCCTTTGGCAGGTTAAAGAACACTTTCGATTTGTGCCTGTTTTTGTTTTTGTCCTGTGAATCAGAGAAGACTCCGAGGTTGATCCCAGAAGTGGGCAGTACGTATTATCACAGAGTTCAGCACTACAGAGAGCTGCTGGACTCGCTGCCCATGGACGCGTACACACACGGCTGCATCCTCCACCCGGAGATCACTGTGGACTCTCACATCCCGGCTTACGCCACCACACGCATACGCGGTAATGCATAGAACTTATAATAAAAATATATATTTATAAGAGATAAGAGATACTTATGTTACTTATATATGAGAACATTTTGCACTGAAATACCATGAAAGACCATGAAACTAGGGCACAAGAGCAGTGCTTATAGTTATTGCTGTAACAGGCATATATACAGTGCCCATCACAAATACTGGCACCCCTGGTAATCATGAGCAAAATGAGGTGTAAAAAATATTCTTTATTGCTTGTCCTTTCCTTTTCATCTTTCTTTCAAAATATAAACAAATATCTAACCTTTATTTGAAGCACAGTGATTGAAAAAAGTTATCAAGAAAGAAATATTTTTCTCCACAATTGTTAGCACCCCTTCATTTAATACTTTGTGCAGCCTCCCTTTGCAAAAATAACAGCTCTAAGTCTTTTCCTATAATGCTTAATGAGACCAGAGAAAACATGGCAAAGGATCTAGACCATCGAGAACCTCTCCAGATCCTTCAGATTTTGAGATTCACTGTGGACTCTCCTCTTCAGCTCATCCCACAGGTTTTCAATGAGGTCTAGATCAGGGGACTGTTGTGGCCATGGCAAAACCTTAATACCATGGGCAGTGAATCATTTTTGTGTTAATTATGAGGTGTGCTTTGGATCATTGTCCTGCTGGAAGATCCACACTATGGCCCAGATCGAGCTTCCTGGCTGCAGCAGTCAGGTTTTGGTTTAATACCTGCTGGTAATTGATGCTGGTAGAAGTCTGATACCATGTATGAGAATAAGTTGTCAAGGGCCTTTGGAAGAAAAACAGCCACAACATCACAGATCCACCACCATACTTCACAGTGGGGATGAGGTACTTTTCTGCATAGCTCTCTTTATGTCCATGGCAAACTCACTTCTGGTGTTTGTTGCCAAAAACCTCTATTTTGGTATCATCTGACCACAGAACATGCTTCCACTCACAGTTCCAGTAACATTTGGCAGGTGCTTGAGTTGTCGGTTCTTGACAGCAGATGCCTCCTTCTGGCAACCCCCCCAAACAACATGTGGTCATATAGGTGGTGTTTGATTGTGGTTTGTGAAACATTGTGACCCCAAGACCTAAATAATGTCTGCAATTCCCCATCTGTGATCATTGGAGAGTCTGTCCACTCAATCCATCCTCCTCATTGTATGTGGGGTCAGTATAGACATACGTCATCTTTCTGGCAGATTCTTAACATCTCCAGTTGTTTAAACCTTCTTAATTATTGCCCTGATCGTGGAAATGGGCATTTTTAACTGTTTAGCTATTTTCTTGTAGCCATTTTCTGATCTTTTGTTGCACGTTAATGCTGTATTCTCTGGTCTTTCTCATAACAATGACTGAGGGCATTTGGCCTGTGTTTCATCTCATATATATTCCCTAATGAAACAGGAAGTCATGGCTAACTATTTAAGTGCTAGTTTTTTCTTTCAATCATTATACCTTAAATAAAGGCTAGATTTTTGCTAATATTTTGAATGAAAGATGAGAAGGATAAATAATTAAGAATATTTTTGCAGCTCATTTTTCTCATGATTGCCAGAGGTGCCAATAATTGTGGAGGGCACGGTACATCTTAAAATGTACCACAAGTATGCACACAATACCATGGAAGCCTCAGCTAGCTGAAACCGTACAAATTTTTAATCCCACAATTTGGTCCATTAGAACACATTCATCACATCAATACATTCAAAACAGATCTTTGCTAACTAGAAGCATGATTTTAATGCTAATGCTATTGTTCCATAGTTTTATTAATATAATTGTATACAGTCAGATTTTAATGACGTTATTTAATAATAAGATGGAAAAAAGCTGAACTGTATAATGTTTTCTTTGCCACAGCTCAGATTGGCAGTATGGCGTCAGAGCTGAAGAAACTGGCAGAAGACAATCCAGAGCTTAAAGATGCTTACATCGCAAAACAAAGGCGCCTGAAAGTAAGTACTGTAACTCTTTAATGCTGTGGCCAAAAATGACCATTTCTTCACTAATAAGCCAGACTGTGTAAATGAACTCGAGATTTGTTTTGACCTGTTTAGACGAAGCTGTTTGACCACGATAATGTGAAGTTCCTGAAGAAGATTCTGGATGAGCTGGAGAACGTTATGGACCAGGTGGAGACAGAGCTGCAGAGGAGAGCAGAGGAAACACCAGGTAACACAGCCCAGATGGAAATCCAGGAGTATCCACACTTCATCACGAAGTCGATTGATCAAATGATTAGGCAAAGTCCTACCTTGTAGTTTCACTCAGTGGCCACTTTATTAGAAACATCTACCTTTTACTTCCACTCACTGGCCACTTTATTAGAAACACCCTCCTTGGTCCACTAAGAATGGTCCACCACTCAAATAATATCTTATCAGTAGTGGTCCTGTTGTGGTCTCTTTCCCTTGATGAATTTGTTAGAGGGGGTCTGATAAATTTTCCAGAAACAGATTGGTTACAGTCTGTAATTTTCTCTCTTTTTCTAACCTTTCTCAATCTCTCTTGTTCTCCCTCTTCTCTCATCTTCCCTCTCTCAATGTCTCTCTCTCTCTTCTTTCTCTCTCTCTCTCTCTCTCTCTCTCTCTCTCTCGTCTCTCTCTCTGTAGAGGAGGGCAGTCAGCAGGCCTGGTTGTGCGGGGAGTTTTTCAGCATGGCTGACGTTTCTCTCGCTGTCACTCTTCACCGGCTGAAGTTCCTGGGTCTGTCCCGCCGTTACTGGGGTAACGGCACACGAGTCAATCTGGAGACTTATTACGAACGAGTCCTTGACCGGCCCACTTTCCGCAGGGTTCTCGGACACGTCAATAACATCCTGATATCTGCCGTGCTGCCCACTGCGTTCAGAGTGGCCAAGAAAAGAGCGCCATCCTTTATAGGCATGACTGTACTGATCGGGATGCTGGGAGGTGCCACATATTTCGCTTTTCACTATTTCAAAAGACGCCTGCTGGTGTCCTGAAGCAGCTGCAGCGATTCACTCACTACCATTTTACTTAATGGCCTCATTGGTTTAATTAGCAATCCTATGCATACAGTTGTGAAGAATGTTGCACATTTAGCACTTTTCACTCATAGCTGACCCATCAGTAGTCTTTCATGTTAACCGTTTTCTACATTGGACAAGTTTTAGAGAAGATTGGCAAAAACCCCATTCATCCCAAGGATCATGTGACTTTTTTTTGTTGAGTTAGTTTAAATTGCTACACTATCGAGATGCACAGTGTTGTTGTAGCTAATCGCCACCATGCTAATGATGCTTTTTTGTTGCAGACTAATCAAACTTTTTTCTTCAGTTTATTTCTGACAGGTTTGAGCACCTCACCCATGCACACAAAACAACTGAATCATGGTCCGTCAAAATCCGAGGGTCTTGTTCTGCTTCCAAATGAAACCCTTATTCAGTTCACGGCTGGTGGACACACATTTTTGTGGTTGTCCACACCAAAATGGGAAAATACAATATCCGGGCATGATTTTCTGCTTCTACTAGAAGCTTGCCAACTTGCTTTAAATTTAGACCCTTTTTCAGATGCTCCTATTGTTGTTGATGCACAACCTGTTGCTAATAATGCCAGATGAGCAATAAAATGATTGCATTTGATGGATCAAGGATCATATTTTTTGTGGTTGGGCTAGGCATAAGCCACCTCCATGCATCCCGATTATACATTTTATCAAGAATATATCTGAAGGATAGATTTTATCGTGTGTGCTAAAGAAGCAAGTAAAATACATTGTTTTTTTGGCACTAATGGGAGCAAACATGAAAGAGTTCCGGCATCTTCGCCAAATTCCTGACCAATCAGAGAACACCCACATGTATAATTAGGTCCAACCAAATTAAAAAGATACAATTTCACAATAAGTCAAACTCAGTGTGGACATTAGAAAACAAATGAGGTGTGAAAACAGCCTTAGTATCATAATATCATAACCTATTCTAACAGTGCGGCCTTTCACACACATGCAAAGTACATGAGTCATGTTCTACAGTTTCTCACTATGTTGAATGGGATTCCAACAGTGTTCTGTAAAGCTTGTCCAGTCTAGCAACAGTACATAGGAAAGAACACATTTGAGGATGGAGCCTGGATAGGATAATTAAGCATGTGTTTTAATAGTAGACAGCAGTTAACAGTCGAATGGGACAAAACCACATCCATCATGGCCTTTAACAGCTTGGTCAGTTCTGCTTTATGTGCCATATTCATTAATGTAAAGGCTTCTTTTGTTTGTGCTGGTTTTCTCTTCCATCTTACATTGTGGTGACACTGTATATAAAATGATTGTGATCTTATGTACAGTATGCTTAAATTTAAATGATTTTATATTATGACATAGAATACATTTCTCTGTCGCTCTTGTTTATTGAGGATAATAGATACACATTACACATCAGTCTGTATGCTGTATTGCATAAATTAAATATAATAAAATACATTTTAATGTTACATACATGTTTCTTTCCTGAGTAAATACAGAATGTAATGTGACTACAGATTGTTATATAACTACACATTCAGAGTTCAACAGAATACTTTAGAAAAATAATGATGGCTCATTACTGAATACTCTGTCCTAAATGTATTCAGTAATGTACTCCATTACAATACATCAAAAACTAACATATTCAGAATAACTGACACACTTTGACTCACATAAATATCATTGATTTATCAGTCTACTTAGGCTTTTGCAGGAACTTTATTGATTGTAAAGAAGCTGTTTGTTGAGTTCCTCTTTTGTCTGACAAGTGTGTTTGCTATATGTCATCTGCTGATTTTAAAGTAGTTAAAAAACAACAATTCATAGTGTTTCTTTTTACGTTTTCTCTAAAAGTATTCTCTTAACATTTTAAATGGTAACTTTATATATATATATATATATATATATATATATATATATATATCATCGCTGTCCAAAGAAAAAGAAAAACAAGTATCTCCAAAATGGTAACTTTACAGGAAGGGGCAAGAACATTCTTTACCTTCAGTGTAAGTAAAGAGATTTTATTCCAAGCAATTTTGGAGCATTTCTATTGGTCCAATACTCATGAAATTTTCACATTATGTAAAGGGCAGATGCTGTAGAAAAGTAAAAATAAAAAAGCGATGATACACATAAACACTACATACTTGATAGTTTAATGCATATACTACAATATTACAACATGCTATACTGACTCTGTGATGCAATTGAATATAAATACAAAACACATCAAAATCTATATATAATATTATTCTACATTTATTCTATATGTATTAGATACATATTAAAATACATTTGCACAATTATTTCCAAAAGTAGATGAACTGAAAAACATAACTGTGTTGATGTAATATACTTTATTCATGCGGAAATTATGTACACATTTGATTAAAGTGAATTCAATGTCAAAAATAAAACAAAAGTTTGCTGAAAAACTTAAGAGCAAAAACAAAAACTGTGTCACTGTCCACTTATTAATGTACTGTATATAAGCACAGCAGTACATAAAGGTGGATCATACCAACAAAATGTCATTGGACTGTACTTTCTACCTAGCATGACTGCATGTTTTTAAATAGGACAAATCTCCTATTTGCTTAGGGGCATTTCATAATAAAACAAGATGTTGTCTAGTTGCAGTTTGTCATTGTTGTTTGGTTTATTATTAGACTGGATTCAAAATGCATTCTTGACTACTGAACAGAAACAGAGTGTTTCATAATTATCTAAATACATCAAATAATTGTCGATATACCTAATTTCTATAGCCATATGGCCTATGGCCACTAGGTGGCAGTAAATCCATAATTATCTCTAACCTGCACTCCGCTAGTTTGCTTTATCCAGAGTCAGTTTAAGGGCAGTCTGGCCTAAAGGGTGCCCACAAGCAAGTCCTCAGTGAATGGTGGGATGAGAGCTAAACAGCCAAAAAAATTAAAACAAAAAACAACAAAAACAAAAAAATTACTGGATTACTGCTGCAGAGTGCTGATTGGTTGGCATTACTTCTACTGAGTGCTGATTGGTTAGCATTGCTGCTACTCAGTTCTAATTGGTTGTCATTACTGCTACCAAGTGCTGATTGGTTGGTGAAACTGCTACTGAATGCGGACTGGTTATCATTACTGTTACTGAGGGCAGATTTGTTATCAGTACTGCTACTGAGTACTGACTGGTTGGTATTACAGCTACTGAGTGCTGATTAGCTATCATTACTGCTACTGAGTGCTGATTGGTTATCATTACTGCTACTGAGTGCTGATTGGTTATCATTACTGCTACTGAGTGCTGACTGGTTATCATTACTGCTACTGAGTGCTGATTGGTTATCATTACTGCTACTGAGTGCTGACTGGTTGGCTTTACTGCTACTGAGCGCTAATATGGCTGGCGTTACTGCTACTGCTGATTGGTTATGATTACTGCTACTGAGTTCATATTGGTTGGCCGGTAATGCTACTGAGCGCTGACTGGTTGGCTTTACTGTTACTGAGTGCTGATTTGGCATGCTGACTAGTAATCATGACTGCTATTGTGTGCTGATTGGTTATCATTACTGCTAATGCATGCTGACTGGTTGGAATTATTCCTATTGAGTGCTGATTGGTTGGCATTACTACTACTAAGTGCTAATTGGTTGGTGAGCTGATCAGCTCATTGGCTGAGTAAAGCGGTTTGTGTACACTGATGTCATGATTGAACATATAAGACTGTTATAAAGTCCTATAACTGGTGTTATAGCACTCACAATATAACAGTAGTTTTGCATAAAAATGATTAAGCATTTATAAAAAAATGTACAAATACTCCATAGAAGCTCATTTATTTGGACTCATTCAGGAGCGCCCTCTAGTGTCTGACAAACCCAGCGGGCAGTTCTCCTCATTAGAAATTTTCTGCTTTCTTTTTACTGCAGCAGAGTGTTTCTTCTGTTAGAGTTATGTTCAGTATGGATTGAACCACAGCTAAACTGTGCACGTGTCCAGCCACACAGCTGGCTAAACAAACCGCATGCTAGATCCACGTGGTTTATAGTCTATTGTTCCACTGATTGGACTCGACATCTCGCTATTCCGTTGTTTAAAATTCAGCAGGTGTTTTGCAGTAATTGGATGAGGTGCTCCTCATCATCCAAAATGTGGAGGGCTTATTTTTCCATTGCAGTCTTTCAGGAATCTGAATAATTTCATTAGAGTTGGTGCAGATCCAAGAAAGTCAAATACGCTTCACAACCATACAGAGAGAAGTGATCTGCAGAGTGTAAATCTTAAAGTTCCACTAAACCTTAGACTAAAGAATAACAATATGGTTCAAAAGTCAGCCAAAAAAGGATGCTGCACTAAAAGTCTGAACCGCACGAGAGTTTTCAGGGCAGAGTCACATACAGACGCTTTTCACTCTCATAATAACTCAAACATAGATTGTAGTAAATCTTGAAAATTACTCACAAATTATTTGAATTTTCTGCAACTAGAATAAAGTTTGATGCATTATTAAAATCTACTTGATACAACTACAATTCAAAGGGGAAGTACCTTTAAAAAATTCTGCATAATAAATGGTTACAATGTAAACAAAGTCATTCAGAGTAGTTTGGTGTGAAATGCTCTGTTCTAAAGAAACTTACCAGCATTCTTCACAGTGGTGGTGATAGAAACCAGACGTCCACCTGTCCACCTCTAAAAGCTCCCTCACAGAAAGTTATTACATGAAACATTTACAATACTTCTGAGATTTTGGCCTAAGACGTATTTTTTGAACTCAAGTTAAGGCGGAACGATACATGCAGGGCCCTGTGAGGCAAAACAGTCCCCAAAGAAAACTTTTTTTTCAGATTTCTCACCATGTTCCCATCATCAACATTACATATAAAAACTCAGAGGACGTGTACCGGTTCACTGGTGGTCTGAGATGGCTATATTTGTGTTGTAGACATTACAACCTCTGGTTTCTTTCACAATTTCACATCAACTGAATTATGCAGATTTGAAAAATAAATCAGTTAAATTAACTTAAATATAGTCAGTTAGCCAAGATGTTTAGTGAAGTTTGTTTGATTTTGCACTGACACTTAAGTCTTGTGCAAAAGTTTGAGTGCACACACACACACACATTTATTAAGCTGCTTTTCCTCCTGGGTCATGGGGGTGCTGGAGCCTATCCCAGCACTCACTGGGTGGAAGGCAGGAAACATTCTGGACAGGTCACCAGTCCATCACATGGCAGACATACAGACATTCACACCCAGGGCCAAATTAGCATCTCCAATTCACCTGACTACCTGTCTTTGGACTGTGGGAGGAAGGGGAGGACATGCAAACTCCACATAGAAAGAACCTTGGTCGCCTGGCCAGAGAATCAAACCCATGCCCTTCTTGCTGTGAGGCGACAGTGCTACCCACTACACCAGACTTGCAACTAAACAGAAATTGTGCTCTAAAATGCACACTACTTTTGTTCCCTGTAGATGATATATTAATCTATTTTCACTTACAAGGCTAATACAGCTAACAAGCTAGCATGGAAGATTTTCTAGCTACAAATTAGCATAACTGCATGCCTAAATCATTACATTCTTGTCTCAAACCATGTAGAGTTGTTCAGTAATTTCTAATAGACTTGATTATGTGGCTTCAGACTCTGTATGACACAATTTTTAATAAATATGGACTGAAGTTTGTTAGCATAGCTAAAAACAGTAGTTTCTTGAAACCTGAATTTTATATCTGACAGATTTGTATACATTTGATTTTCTGTTATTCCTTTAAAAGAGGGTTTACTACTCTGTGCTAAATCTGGATTTTGCTGTTAAAAGGAAAATGATCTTGATAACATATGCTGTATAGTGGCAGAGAAACTAAAAGTAAAAAGTGAGCCAAAATGGCCAAATGTTTATCTGCGGTCGGTTTGGAGCCATTTTTGCTGATGCAGTCAGTTTGTTAGAACTACTGCCCAAATCCAAACGTGTATATTCACCAACCAGTTTCATCTCAACAATATGAAAGGTCCGAAATCCAATGCCACTTCCTAAATGTCACAACACACCCGGCTTGTTTGAATATATTTCTTATGAGATATCAGCTTGCTTGCATAATATTTGCAATAATTACACCTTAAAAATGACCCAAATTTTGTGAAAGCTTTCAACTATAAAAGTAGCCTCCCACAAATGCGCTGTGCTTGCATACCTCGAAAGAGAGCAGAGAATGGTAGACTGCTGTAATCGACCTGCACACGTATTACTTCTATTCACATTTGACTAATAAAACACTATGCACAAGGTAGGCTTTAACACATACACTGTCAGGGCGCCACCTACTGCCAGGATGACAAACACTCTTGACCATGTCAGGTATAAGAGTATGTAGACAAATTCACTCTCAGCTTTAGCCCTTTTCTCCACCTGGCATTAAAGACCATGTGAACATGGTTTTAGATGTTTAAATCTTTTTAAACATCTAAG